CTCTTTCCTTCTTCAGCTGGTGGAAGGCAGACGGATCTTGCAGGTGGCTGAAACCTAAACTAATCTCAGAAGGGCTCTTATTGCAGATTCATCATGGTGAGTGCTTTCCCATAATAAATTAAACACTTTCCTTCCTGCCCTCACAAGTCTATATTCTGTGCCAGGCCCTGTCTATACTGAGGCTCATAATTAGGTTTGAAATAGTTTTCCAACAGTTTGTAACCAATCCTGGCCAGACACAACATGGAGGGGAAACGTCCAAGATGTTTGAGAGCACTTTTTCAAAGCACATAAAACGACACCTCATTTCATGAATTAAATTGAAAGTGATTAAGTGGATTTTTTTTTAAATCCATGCATGTCTTCGTCTAAAAGTTCCTCCCTTGTGGCTTTAAAAATCTATTAATCTTCTGTATTCAATTTCCACTTTATCTTCCATGTATATTTTCTACTATACTTTGACCACCTCTCTTAATACTTGCCCTGCCCTTCTCTCCTCTCTTTCCCCTCCGTCAGCTGCACATTTTTGTCCCCTTTTCTTTCAACAATCATCTTCCCTCTCACACCTGCAAGTTTACCCATCTCGCTCATCTTCAGACACATCATATTTCCTCTCTGCCCTCCACAATTTGTCATGGTGTTTTAAAGGTACATAGAAATGATGTAGTACTTTCTGCATGTCGCTGTCTTCTCAATTATTCTGTAACATGTACTGCATGACTTTCAATAGCGATAGCACCGTTTTGTCATCTGCCTACTCATATTGCTGAATCATGGAGAAAATCTTTTTCTCCACTAGGAAGAATAGTAGTATAACTTGGCTGATACCAGCATAATCACTACTCACCAGGTTTCTGCTATCATCAAATGCCTATAAGATAGCACACCTACTCTGCATAAGAAACAACTTTTCAGATACCAGGTGAAAACTGGTGTTCTCCTGAACCTGGATAGAGAGTATTACAAACTCTTGTTTCACAACGTGCTATTCATAAAGTATTTCTGACAAGTACAGTGCAGAATTCCTCTGTATCACCAGTTCCTGCGGCTTCTGGTGGCTAGGAAGGCCACCTTGCATCTGGATCTCCTTAAGAAGATGCCATGCCAAATAACAGAGAAGCAGCTGAAGTGGCTAAGATCTTACAAGACCTCATGATAGTAATTGTCCTGTCCATGTTTTTGCTGATCTGTGGAAATTCCTCACAGCTAGGATGAAGCAGCATGCCACATGCAGAAAACTCCTGTTAGGTTACCTTTGTCATATTTTAATAGTCAAAACACATGAGATTTATTAATTATTTAAACTTGAATAACCAGTTTCTCAAGTAAACTGAATCAGTTCCCAAGCTTTATAATTTTTATTTTAATTAACAGAATGTACAAACAGCATCTTGCTGAGTATTAGAGTGAAGCATTACACCTTCTCTCTGAGAGCAGTCAAAATGGCTGCTGCAAATCCTCCAGAGATTGTCAGAGCCTATCAGAGAACCAGAACTATATGAATTAAACCATGTGACCAGTTTCAATTAACCATACTCAAAAGTCACATCTAGATTAGACACCGTGGTGACAGGAGCACTAGATTGCTTAGGTAGAAATCTGAAAAATGCACTGTGAAAATCTTATGCAAAATTTACACAAAGTATCAAAACTTCATGCTCAACTTTGACAAGTTTTAACTAACACAAAATTCTTTAGCACAAACTGATCCTTTTATTCACAGTAGCTCTACAAATAAAAAAGGGACAAGTTAAGTGTTTTAATTTTCAGAGCCAATATTTCAGAGCTCTACCTAATAGTCTGGTAACAAAATTCTACTTCAAAAATATCAAACATCGTGGAGAAAAGAAAAAGTCCAGAAGAGAGATTTGGTCATCAACTCTCCTGCGAACCCAGTCTCACACGTTCTACAGGTTCTTCTGGTTCAACCACCAACCTTGAGTTAGGCATACTAACACCTTTTCTGCTGCTACTGGTATACTCACCAGCATATTCACTAGCAAAAATATCTCTTTTGCAAGATAGAGATGCCAGTTGCCAACTTGAGAAAAAGGAGCTGTCATTACAGTGCAAACAATTGATTAGCCCAGTTGTAAAAAATGGAAGAATCTGAAAGTAACCTCTAGAGCCAGAAGGACTGGGAAATAGTCAGCGGCGATAGTCCATTGGGAGAGTAGGGACTGGCTCCAACCTAGTTATGGAAAATTACGTGACATTTTTCTTTCATTGAAATAGTTGTCCCATTAACGTTGTCCATTCTACAAAATCTATCTACTGGCTGGCTAGCAGCAAATACAGAACACACATTCTACGTGTCTAAAACAGATAGCTTAACTGACTGTGTGCCACTGCAAAACCAGCAGCAAAACATCTTACAGGCCAGTTGCTCAATTTAGACTCTATTGCGAGAGTGATTCAGTGGAAAGAGAGATAAAGGAAGTATGTTAACATTCTCATCTTTCATCTTCATGTGTCTTATCTCATGTGTCTATTTCTTTTCTCTGTGGCAGCAGTGTTGAACACTAATGCTAGAAACCTTGATGCAATAGACACTTCTTAAAAGTGTTTATTTTTAGAGGATTTTCAATAATGCAGTAAGCACAGAAAAGCTGAGAAAGAATGACCTTGTAGTTAAGGCATTGGATTGGGATTTAGGAGATCTATGTTGTTTTCCTAGTTCTGCCATAGACATCTAGTGTGACCTTGGGCAAATCACATAATCTGTATGTGCCTCAGTTCCCCATCTATGAAATCTGATTACTACTACTACTACTACTACTATTTTCCCCTCTCCTTTATCTGTTTTGTCTACAGATATATTTGTCTACAGATATATACTATGTAAAAAATACATAGTATATAGGCTCTTTGGGGGCAGGGAACATCCCTTATGTATTTTGACATAGAGGTGCCTCTCAAAGCTACTGCAGTACTCTTAATATTAAGAGAATATATAACAAATAGTAAATACAGAGTGCTGAAATTCATGCAGATCCACAAAGTTTGTTTAGATGCATCATACAAAGAATTATTGATCCCTATGGAGCTTGATGATGTTCTCAGCTACCTCATTGGTACTTTGACACTGACTTCAAACAGATGCAAGATCAGGTCCATGGAATGTGAATATTTAATGCAGGTCAAGGTTAATAAGATTTTAGTAGATTATTTAGAAAGGAGAACCACAGTGAAACGTTAGCATGCTTAGATATTTTAGTATGGAAATCTAAAGTTCTAGTTCATATGCATCAAGCAAAGCATAGCAGAGACTAATATTTTAATAGGACTGCAACACCTAACTTACCCCCTCTGAGTCCAGATGAGTCCAGTTATCAGTGAATGTTTGCATCATATCTTCATGTACCAGGTGGAAGGGATATTACATCATCTCTAGTTGAGATATAAATGTAAGCTCTAGCCCAGAGAGCTGAACTCCTGATCAAAGTATTTTAGTTCAGAGGCCAGCAAGATTGGGAAACATGCAGTTCACACACACACACACAGCTCCACAGAGGAAGGGTAGTGCTCTTTATTTTATCCTGCTTGGCCCCTGTTGGCCAATTTTTGTGGAAAGTAGTGCTTGGAAGGGATCTGGTTCCTGTTGATTTACAAATTCTAGGCTGGTAAGAATGAAACAGAGAGAAAGTGAGGAGAAATTTAAAGAGGGGGCAAAAACCATCCAGTCATGAAGCTACAATACTTCAGATGTGACATTTCTCTCCTCTCCATTGTCTAAACCCTGGATAGTGTAGTTATAGGAAGGGTCGATCAATTTGGGGGCAGGATGAAATAGGAAGTAGTTATGTGGAGAAAAAAACTTAGAGTGAATGAAAACTGGATCTTCTTTCCAAAAAAGCAAAACAAGAACAACTCCAATAAAAAAAAAAAAAGTAAAATCTGAGTAATATTGGAACATTCTAACTAGTGTAGTAAATACTGTTCAATGATATTAAACAATTTGCAGTGTTGATAGAGAAAAAATTATGCTTCAGTATATACAAACACACACACATCAAACCAGAGTTAAAAATATTGCAAGTATTTTAGATTAGAATGACCCAGCTTTGAATGGCACATACTCTATGCCTACACCTTAAACACTTTTCAGTTTCTATGCATTTGATCTTTTGTTAAGCAATGTAATTTTTTGTAAAATTAATTGTCTAAATGTCTTTCAGTCTGGTTTCACATTACAACATTATCGCCAGAGACCAACACTGATACTAATTAACTATACTTTACAGAATACCAACAACACCATGGGCATAAAGTGCTCAATGGCATGAGGGTTCTAACAATTTGTGCAGGGTTAATGAAGATATTTACTTGTAATTTTCCAGAAAACTCAGCTTGTACCCTAAGAGTATGTGGAGTAACTTTTGATTAGGACAAATACTTGTTTTCATCCATAGCAAAGAAATTTCAGACCTACTAAACTGAGTACTGACTACCCTTGCTGCAGATTAAGCTGATTACTTCTTGTCCTACCTTCAGTGGACATGGAGAACAATTGATCACCACTATCCTCTTTATAACAGTCCTTAACATATTTGAAGATGGTTGGCAGGTCCCTCGTCAGTTCTTTTTTCTCAAGCCTAAACATGCCCAGTTTTTTTAACCTTTCCTCATAGTCAAGTTTTCTAAACCCCTTTTCACTTTTGTTTGATCTCCTCTGGACTCTCTCCAATTTGTCCACATCTAAACTGTGGCACCCAGTGGCATAGCCAGGTGGAGGGAACAGGGGGAGCATAAAAAAAAAAAGGTGCCACCCGCTGGGGCGCTTTTACTCACCCGATGGCACTCTGGGTCTTCGGCGGCACTTTGGCAGCGGGCCCTTCACTCACTCTGGGTGTCTTCGGCGGCACTGAAGGTCCCGCCGCTGAAATGCTGCCCAAGACCCGGAGCGAGTGAAGGTCCCGCTGCCGAAGTACCGCCGAAGACCTGGAGCACCGCCGGTGAGTAAAATGAAAGCGCCGCAGCGGGTGGCTCCTCTTTTTTTTTTTTAAATTGCCCCCCCGGGGTGAGTACAAAGGCGCCAGGAAATTGACAAGGTGCCACTTGTGCTCAGTGCGGGAGCGGCCGCTCCCCCCCCCCAGCTACGCTACTGGTGGAACCCAGAATTGGACACACTACTCCAGCTGAGGCTTCACTAGTGCCACGTAGAGTGGGACGATTATCTCCTGCATCTTACATACGACACTCCTATTAATACACCCAAAAATGATATTAGCCTTTTTCACAACTGAATTAGAGTGTTGACACTCAATTTGTGATTCATTATAACCCCCACTTTTTGTAATGTGGCATTTATGCTTGGTGTTAACTAATAAATATGCCTTGTTTCACAAAATGTAATTATATTGTGTGCACACAAGAGATAAAGTTAAAGTTCAACTACACAAAGTTAAAAACATTTCAGAAGCAATATAATAGGATACTTATAAAAACCAAGATTAAAAAAATGTATAATCCTTCTGCCAGATGGTGTCAGCAGCAACCAGGGCTGGGGTCAATGTCTAGGGATTCCTCTTAAAATTACAAAACAGACTCCATCTCCCACCCAGATATCTGGGAAATGCGCTAGGCACTTCTAATTGGCAATTCAGTACTTCCCCACCTGCAAGCACTGAATCTGTGTACAAAAAAAAGACTTTTATTAAGGGGAGAGGGAAAACAGCAACAATGATTAAGTATGCAAACAATAAGTAAAATACACATCCCACATTACCTTGAGCAGTAGTCCTTTGCCTCAGGGTCCTACCTCGCGGGGTGAAAGTCCAATGGACAAATAGACAAGGTGAGTAAGATCTTTTATTTGGGCCAATAAAAGATATTACCTCACTCACCTTGTCTCCCAAATATCGTGGGACCGACACAGCTACAGCAACACTGCATACAAATATGGACAAATGTCCCTTTAATGCACCACTCCCCCTTTCCCTCTGCTGTACCCCAATCATGGTGGTTGTCCAAGGTGAGCAAAATCCCTGAGTCCAGGGGTGCATTCAGATGGGTTGACCTCCACTGCTGTTGCTTTGCTGCCACTGCCTTTGACACTTCTTGTCGCGGTCTCTGCTGCTCTGCAATGTCCTTAGTCCAGTCCAGTCCTACAGCACCATAACCACCTAGCCCAGCTATCAGTAATCACAACTTTAGGATTTGCGGAGTAGAGGGTGCCTTTGATGCTACTGCTGCATCTTTCACCATGCCACCTTGAGCTGTAATACTGCATTCTGATGTTCCACCACCTAGCCCAGTTCTTAGTTGTTTCAGACCTTAGCGATTTCACTGAGTAGTAGAGAACCTCATTACTACTACCTCTTTTGCATTGTCTTTCACCACAACACTGTCCTCATACCAGGCCTAAGGCCCAGTTCCTAGATCAGCATATCAGCTCTAGTAGTTACTAAGAGACGAGGTTCTGAATTGATTCTAGTGAGCTCTGCCTTAAAACACTAATGAAGACAAATAAAATAGGAGCTAGAACCCTTGAACCCCAGGTAGAAACACCTGTCTATACCCCCACTGACTTGCAGTTGGATGTGGCTCACTACCCTATGCTTAGCAAGGGAAGATTTAGTTATGGTGAACCCTCAATTGGGGCACATTAAATACAGTTCTGCTGTCCTTTAGTCATACAATAGGGGTAACAACATTTCATTACAGCTGCATCCATGACTTACATGAATTTTAACCTAAAACAGACAAAATCCATCACTTTGGAAAAGCAGGTATGTCAAGCGATCATCTTGGCAGAGCAGGTGTGTCTATGCTAATAAGGTCTGTTCATGAGGTCTTTTCCTCCAGTTCATCAATAGATGGCAGGAGAGAGCTCATTCAGACCTCTGGTTTACACGTTTATATATTAAAAACACATAGGAAGTGTGGTGTGCTTTGCAAATGATCCTGTGGCTATCACAGGTGAGTGTAAATGTAGTCATGGTTCTCCTTGTTTTCTTTTGGAGTGGTAGGGGTAAGGGTTGATACCATGCTGCTACCTGTTACATTGGGGGGGGGGCGTGTAGGGAACAGCGACCATGGAGTCTTTCATGGATTTCACGGGCTGCTGTGTTTGGGATCTTTAGACATGTAATTTAGTAATATTCTGCAACATCTGTGTTTGTTACCTGATCAAAGCCATAATATCATAGTGCACTTCCTGCTGCACCTCTCGGTCCATTTGACTCTCCTCCAGCAGTTCTTAGTTCTCCCTGGTCTTGTACATTCAGCCCCTCCAGTCTCTCTGTTCACGGCTATAAACAACTGGAGGATCTCACATAGCATATCCTTCCTAGTTTGCTTCTTTTTTTGCCTGATGTGGGTCAGACATTCAACTGGTATGGAGGGGGCACCTTTCAAGGTCACCATGCCAAAGGCTGCTGATTAAAAAAACATGACCATGATCAGATGTGGACTGTTTTTTAATTTATTTTCAAACATTTTACAAATAAATTGGGGAATCAAAGGTGAATGCTTTTGCTCACTAGATGCATGGGTGGGCACCATTTTTAAAAAGAAAAGAAAGGAGGGGGAAGGAAGGGAGTAGGTTTTGGTCATTGAAAAGGGAAACAAACAGGGTAATAAGAAATAATGCATCTATATACTTACTGAGCTCCCGTCCCTTTCATCTGCTGTGCTCACCGGGCAGGCATGGTTTGCATCTTCTTTGGAGTCCTGTCCTCCCCTCCCCGCTGCATACTGCAGGGCTCCCTGTACCTGGCTCATGCAAAGTGTCTACAGTTAGATTTGGGGGGCTGGCAGGGTCCCCGCCAAGTGTGGCATGCTATTAATTAGTGGTAGATCTGTGGGGTGGCCTCAGCTCTGTTGTCTTCCCTTGCCTTCTGATATGCCTGCTAATGTTCCTTTTCTTTCACCCAGCACCGTTGTGCCCCAGGCTTAGCATCCGCTTCGCAATCTGCATGTAGATATCTGAATTTCTTCAGCTGCCTTGACCACTCCCAGCTTCACCTCTCACCTTTCCCCCTCGCACCTGACAGGCCCTGACCAACCCCAGCTCCACCTCTCACCCCCCGCCCCATGACAGGCCCTGACCAACATGAGCGCCACCTTTCTTCCCCCCTCCCCTGACCAACCCCAGCATCACCTCTCACCACCACCACCCCCAGACCAACTCCAGCTCCAACTTTCTCCCCCCCACCCACCTTGACCAATCCCAGCTCCACCTCTCACCACGCCCATGCCCACAGGCCCTGACCAACCCCAGCTCAGGGTTGCCGATTTTCTCATTCCAGAAAACCGAACACTCTTGCCCTGCCAACTGCCCCGCCCCTTCCCCAAGGCCCTGCCCGAGGCCCCACCCCCTACACTTCATCTCCCTCCCCCATCCCTGGCTCTCCCCCACCCTCTCTCATGTGCTCATTTTCACTGCAAGGCCCAAACAGGCCTATTTATTGCTTTGACAGATGTATTATGCCAAGTTCAGGTTTTATTTGTTACAGGATGATAGAGCTGGCAGCAAAATAGTCAAAAAGGGTAATTTAAAAAAAATGAAATTTCACAAAGGTTTTCACGATTCTTTCCCTCCTCTCTTCCCATTTTTCGTAACCAGCTCCATGTTTTTTGTTCACTAAAGTTATTGCAATTTTATGTGTGGAATTAGGACCACCCATTATCACAGCTGCAATGGGTTCATTAAAGGCCCACTCCCAAAGCCCAAATCCAAATTCATAGAGCACAACCACAGAAATGCACACCTGTCCAGATAGCTGTAAAAATAAATCTGTAGAAATGGACTCCCACACCTATATGCAGCTACACACGTGTATTCATGTGTACACATCTAGCATGCACTAACACATATACTTCCACATTATTTAATATTACAATTGTTGTTTAGTGCCTAGAGACCCCAACTAAGATCAGGGCTCCAGGGTGGTAGGTTCTGGACATAGACATAAAAAGAGAGAGTCTGCAACAAAGAGTTTATAATGTAGCTAGACAAAGGTGGGGAGAAATGTATGATATACTGCTCTTCTGCAATTATTAGTCAACAACAGCCACCCTTTAAGAAATAATACATTTCTTTTAGAGTTCCTTTCTCTTTTAAAAACTTGTTATGAAATTAATACACACACATTTTATGTCATCAATTTTGTGTGCGCAAGCCAGCAAAAGGAATAAAAGTCAAAGCTTGGCTGTAAATTTTATTCACTCCAGTATACACACATATGCGGCAATACACGCACCTCTCTACACAAAGACACACAGTTTCTTACACACATACAATGCATGCATGCACACACTTGCCTACACAGAGACACTTTTTCATACACTTTTCCAGGGGCTGCCTAAATCACCCAGCTGGGAAGGGAGGAGGGTGGGCTGGAGGGGAAAAGATGGGGGGGGGAGGAGAGAGGATGGGGAGGGAAAGAGGCCACGGAGGAGAGCAAGGTGGGGGTGAGGGGAGGCAGTGAAGGAGAGAGGAGGTGGTGTGGGGGGTATGTGGGGTGGTTGGGGATGCAGGAGGCGGCAGAAAGCTACAGGTGCATGAGGATGTGTGGGGCACAGGGGTGGATAGGGATATATGGGAGTGCAGCAGTGTATGGAGGTGAATCATAGAATCATAGAATATCAGAGTTGGAAGGGACCTCAAGAGGTCAATGGGGTGCAGGAGTGTGGGGGGTGAGGGCCATGGGGATGGCGGTTCTGGGAGGTGGAGAGAATGGGTGGGAGAACACTGTAAAGGGTACAGGGCTGGGATGGGTAGGTGTGGGGGTCAGGATGGGATGGGACGGGGAGGGATGCAATGACAGGGGGATGGGAGTGTGTGGGGGGGTAAGGACGGGGAGGGATGCAGTGACGGGGATGGGTGTGTGGGAAGGGGGGGATGCAGTGAGGTGGATGGGGGTGCAGCCCCCATTCCCAGCACTTGGAGACGGGGATACACATACCTCCAACTCCTGGGTGCTGGCGATGGGGCGACAGACCGCATGGTTTACTGCAGGGCATGTGCTTCAGCTTGAGCCCAGCCGCGCGAGGAGAAGAGGGCCGGGCAGCGAAGGGAGAAGCGCACGCCTCGTGACCCCTAAACAGCTGCCTGCTGAGCGCTCTCAAGTGGCGCTAGTTCTTTTCCTGCCCTGACCCAGCCAATGGGAGCTGCGCCTGTGGGCAAGGCAGTACGTGGACCTCCCGGCAGCCCCTAAGGCTAGGAGTCGGATATGCCGGTTGCTTCCTGACCCGGGCGTTGCGTGGGCTGGGCACTGGCAGGGAGCCTGCCAGCCCTGCTGTGGTGCCCCAAACCGGACATTCAGCGGCCTGGTCAGTGGTGCTGACTGGAGCTGTCAGGATTCCTTTTCGACTGGGTGTTCTGGTCCAAAACCGGACACCTGGTCACCCTACCCCAGCTCCACCTCTCACCCCACCCTTCCCAGGCAGGCTTTGACCAACCCCAGCTCCACCTCTCACCTCCCCCACCACAGACAGGCGGTGACCAACCCCAGCTCCACCTTTCTCGCGCTCCCCCTTGGCCCCGACCACCCCCCAGCTCCACCTTTCTCGCGCTCCCCGCGGCCCCAACCAGCTCCAGCTCTCCTGCCCCCCAGCTCAATCGGTTCCCCTGCTGTCAGAGCACGAGGGGCGGCACCTGCGGGGTCCGCCCCCGTCTCCTCCCCTCCCCTCCTCCAGCCGGAGAGCCCGAGACCCAGCGGGAGAAACCAGCGGCGGTAGCGCAGGCAGGGGATTCGCAGCGCAGCCTCTCGGCGTGCGGGAAAAAAGGGGCTTTGGGGGGCTCGGAGCGCGCTGGACCCTTCTCTCCGCCCCGCATGGTAAGGGGCGGCCCCGGCCGGGCCCTGCGGCTCGGGGTCCTTGGCTCGCCTCTCCTGGCCCCGCTTGGGAGGACACAAAGGTAGCGGAGCGGAGGCAGGGAGCGGGTCCGCTGCTCGCTCGCTGTGTCAGTCACCCCGGGAGCGCGGAGCGGGCTGCAGCAGCAGGGGGCGGCTCGGAGTTAATTGAGCTCTGTCAGCATAACGCCTGTTTACCCTGGCTGCGCATCAGCCCTCCGGGGCTCCGGCCCTTTGTTACCGCTCTGCGCTCAGGGCAGTAGCACGCTGGCGGGGACAAGCCCCACGGGGCTCGGTCAGCTGCGCGCGTGGAAGCCCCTCAGGAGGGAAGGTGGCGCGGAGGCGCCGCTGGGCGTGGGAGGGATTCGGGGGGTGCAGGTGGTTGGTTCTTCTGTAGCTTCTCCCTCCCCAAAAGTTACTAGGCCAAAGGCTCGCCAATAGGCGGCTCAGTTGCGTTGCTGTTCGCGAGATGCCGGTATAGCTCGATTAATAAACTAGTGTCAGGAAGGGGGGTGGATCAGGTCCTGGGGTGGGGTTTGTTGATGAACGTTTCCCGAAACGGCCGAGCCCGCATTTTGCTCATGTTGACAATGAAGGCGTACTTGGGCTTTCCTCTTTTGCTGTATGGTTTTGGGATTATTTGCTGTGTGCGTGAACCTCACTGATGTGTTGACAGTTGAAGGTGACCGTAGTTTTACTCTGAGACACGAGGCAAGGGATATATAAATAATCGGAGGATGGCTGCTTAGTGTTTTACTAATGCTGTTGTTGATTAATTTCTTTTGGCCTTAGTCTTTATTTGCATGAATTGTCTAGCGATGCTTACTTTAAGAAGTTCCACATGATAAAAAAAGGCAAATGCTTTTGATCATAATATGTCTGCTAAACTACAGGGTACCTCTTGTCACTTTGAAGTACAAGCTGGCTTTCTTTTTAATGATTTCCTTTATTGTCACATTCTCTCACTTGCCTGACTTCTTTGCTAGTGTAAAACAAGTTTGGGAAACTGGTTTTGAAGTCAATTAGGATGTAGTTTTCCAAAAGCATCTGAGAAATCTGAAAATTCCACCCTTTTTATAAATAATTTTCCTTTTATTATTTTGAAATATCTGAAAGAATAACATTTTAACCCATCATATTTGCTTTAATTTTATGGAGAAGTGTTTGAACCCCGAAGTATTTTGGAGGGTAGACCAATTGCCTCCGCTCACTGGCCCCAAACCTGCAAAAACTAATGCATATGCTGCACTTTAAGCACATTATGTCACATACTTAAAGTTCAGCACATATGTGTTTGTAGGATCAGGACCATAAATGTTTACTGTCTTTGGCAAATACCTTGAAAGTGTGAGATCAAAACATGCCTTTTGGTTTCCCAGAATTAGTGACTGTGGTGGCTTCCCCATGAAAGAAATGTTTTTAGGGAAATATATTATTTTATTTTTTCACACAAAATGACACAATTCAAATGAAATGTAATTAAAAATATTTAAAATTATAAATAAAAAAGAAAAGAACAATAGTCTTTCATAATTTGAGGTTAGTGGAAGTTACAAATGAAGGATTTTTTTAAAATTATTATTTAGAGCTAATAGACTCAATAGGTATTAACTCCTGTTGACAATAGTTTCTTGCACTTGACCTGATAAGAGAGAGTTTGGGTGGCCCTTCACAAAGCCCTACCAGGTTGAAGGACTGGTAGGAGGATTCCAGCAGTTTTCCATCTGAAAGGCCTAAGTATACAGTATAGTCTGCTTTATTTTTCTTCTGTTTTTTGGTATTTGACCTATAAATAAATGTGAAGGCCTTATATACTGATTGCCAAGCCTATTATGTGACCATTAATTCAATGTTACTTCCCCATGATGGAAATAGTGGGGTATAGAGACTTTATTTTCCCTGAAGACATTAATAAACCCTTATCCAAGCGAAATTGCTAGTCAAGTTTTGTTAAAAACAAAACAAAAAGCTATGGAATTGGTGTGTTTTGATTTTGTTTTGTTTGCAAGGGAAGAAAAAAAATCTCTGTATATTCCCCAGCCTTTTAGGAGATAAGATTTGAAAAATCATCGAATGCTTTCAGGCTTAGAACCTAAACATATGCATAATTTTACTTGTATAAGTAGTCCTACAGAAACTATGGACTACTCTCATGAGTATAATTAAGTGCATGCTTAACTGTGAGCAGGGTTTGGTTTCATACCTGAAAGTACAAATACCTGTTCAGATAGGTTAACAAATATGCAGTATAGCCTTAAAATTTCACAGTGCTTGCAAAGCATGTATTTTTGAATTGTTTAATAAAATAAATATTAGTATAAAATATTTTGCATGTTTCTGCACATTTGTCACCCCAGATTATTACAATATTACAGCCAACCAGAAATATTGGGAGTAGGCAATAAGGCAGTAGGACTAGATTTGCAAAAGGATTTAGATGCCTAGCTGCCACTTTATGTGCCCAAATCCCAGAATCAGGTCTCACTGAGATCTAAAAAACCTCCACATTGCTGCTTCCCAGCTTTGCAGGCACGTAAATTCACTTGGCACCTCAGTTTTTGCAGTAAAGTTTTGCCTCTGAGCATGTGCGTTTCAGCCCCCGCTGGGCATCTGGACACCTAAGCCCCAGACTGAAGCACATATAGGGGAAAAGTAAGGGTTTGTCTGCTTGACTTGCCTGTGGGGCCCAGTCCAGTAGGTTTGCTCTGAGCTTGCCTACTGGATTGGGTCCTTATAGGTGGGCTTATGCAAAATGGAGGAGTAGTGCTCTCACAGCTTTTAGTCCAGTGGTTAGGGTACTCATGGGAGACCGCTGAGACCTACATAAGAGGGGGAAGGGATTTCTCACCTCTCAGGTGAGTGCCCTAACTGGGATATGGGATGTTCTGGTGTGTTTGAAGGTGTTGCATTGTGAAAGAATCATTATGCCAGAGAGAGTGAGCAAGCATAAGAATGACTATATAGCCTGGTGGTTAGATCAGTCACTTGGGAGGTGGGGGGATCCAGTCTCCTGGCTCCAATGACTTTTCTTAATTATTTACCTACCATTGAACAGCTTCAATAGGAGAAACGGAGGGAACCGCACGTGACAATATCCCATAACCCAGAGATTAGGGCGCTCACCTGAGAGGTGGCAGATCCCTGTTCATATCCCTTCAGCTTGAAGGTGGACTTGAACTGGAGGTCTCCCACATCCCAGGTGACTACCCTAACCACTATGCTAAAAGTTATAAGGGAGGTGGTTTCCTCCTTTGCTCTTGGCTTCATACCAAACTGTGTAGGTGCCCAATGCCAAGACAGGGTTTGCAGATAAGAATCCCAAGCAGAAGAAGGTGCCTCTTTGCAGCTTGGATTTAGGTACCTATCTCAGAGGAGGGAGGGACAGGGTTTAGCACAAGCCCCTCAGTTTGGCACCTCCCATTGGCTAGTTTTGGTGAGGAGCTGCCTAGGGTGCTGGTTTTTGTGAATCCCATTTTGAGGCATCTGTCCCTCCCCATTCATTATATAGGGAGGCTAAGTGCCTAGCCCAGGCTTTGTGCATCCCATTGATTTTTCTAGGCACCTAAGTTAGGCATAGCAATGTTCAGGGTAACCATGACTAAGTTCCTTTGTGAATCTAGCCCTGGTGTAAATTGCAAGTGCACTATGTGTATACTATGTTGCAAGAGGGAATATTGAGAGAGCTGGGAGATAATGGACAAGTTGAATGTTGAGCTTGTATTATATGGTTTAAAATGTGATATTTTTTATTATCCTGTGCAGAGGCATTATACCATGGAACAAAGGGATGATAGTATAGCTATATGAAATGTTTGCATAAATTCAAAACACCCCAAATCAGGGCTAGTTCAAAGTTTTCTTAAGACCATAAATATTAGCCCTGGTCCTTGAAAGTTGAGTGGAATGGGGTTGCTGCACTTTGTAAACACAAGGAAGGAGAGGAATTGTTTAGCATAATTCAAACTGCTATGTCTAGGAGTTATGGGATAACAGTGAACAAATTTTTTTTTAGGCTAAATGTGAGCGTGTGGGGGGAGATTTCTTGTTGAGACCGCTGTAATACTGTGAACACACAGTTGCTGAGGCATCTAAAACTAGACTGAAATAGTACTCAAGGATAAACTGTAGGAAACAGTTCACCAGTTAGTAGTGGGATAAACAAGACAATTTAATGGGTCTTTCCCCAAAATTCCGTTACATATTTTCAGGACACTTTAATATGGTACAATTGTTATCTAACCTGGATGAAAATAAAAATTTAAGTTTGAGTAGTGTGCCTTTCTTTTGTGTAGCATATTTCATTCCAAAAGATCCTAAAGTGCTTTTATGTTCTATGTGTATGTTCTGTATCTAATTGTTTCACCAACCACTGAAATGCAGCCAACTCTGGGTGAAATGTGGCAGCTGTTAACCAGGCTTAGCAACAGTCCACAGTAATTCAAGATGGGAAGTGAAGAAGAATACCATGTCTAATTGAAACAACAGGGGGCATTTGGATAGGTAATTGACAAAACCTGGAACTTGGGCAAGATGCCAGGAAATCACATCCTTACTCTTGTGAAAAGTGCCATGAAATCTTTAATGTGAAAGTGTATCAGAGCTTTAGTTTTACACCTTAGACTATATAGCCCCTTCAAGACTTTAAACAATTTTTGCATACTTTTGCACCATCATCTCTCTTATGTATTAGGTGGTTGACTTTAGAAGATATGGCCCCTTCAGGTCTTACAATTTTGCATACTCTTGCACCATATCTCTTACATAATAGGTGG